ACCCCTGCATTTGTAGGGTTTTAACGGCATATGTATGTTTTTGAGTCATTTTAATGTAGTCAGAAAATATATTGATATTGCTGCTCAATCCTATATCTAATTCGTTTATGTATCTGTTAGACAACAAAGGTCAGGGTTCCAGGGTGCTCCTCTCGTCTCATATATACTGACTATCTCTCAGTATATATGATTATGGTACAGTATTGATGTTGAAACATCAATACTGTACCATAATCCAATTTCAGATATACCTGTCAGTGCTAGGCATCTCTACCTTCCTGATTAGTTTATTTACAATATGCTGGAAATAAACAAAGGTAAATTATTTAAACATGAATGAGCAGATTATTTAGCAACAGACGTCAAACTAATTGGCCGATATTACTTGAAATTGAAGAATTTGAAGTGTTTCATAAATGTCAGCATTATTGGCTTAGTTACTGACTAGCGTTTCCCTGCTCACTAGAGCTCACTCTTAATATAATTTTCGTTTTGGTTCGACTAAAATTAGTCACCTATATAGCAATTTGAAGCCTATGTATTTCTATCCACATATGTCTATTAGATTATCACAATCTTCATTTAGTTCAATCTAAATTGTTTCTGTATGTGGCTGTGAATCCTGTCGTCACGTTCGCTATTTTGCAAAAACGACTACCTTGTAGTAACAGCCTTGTAGATCAAGCTGTCACAAGAGCAAGTCTAGCTTGAGCAATGGAACTTTTGAAACCGGATAAAGATAAATTAAAAGTAAATGCCCGTCAGAGTATATACTCGTAGTACCCATACTTAGATCCAGTTCAGTAAGAATCTATGCAGGGTCAGTGGACAGTTCAATAGATATGCAGACTCCTCATTTTAAAACCGTTGAGGCAGCCATGCCTAATGCTGCAGTTCAAGAATAGATACAAAGAACTCATCTTATTTTAGGGTGAGGTGGAAGTAACTTGTATCACATGAGCATTTACCAGTTTGAACTTAAAGGTCAGGTATTCCAGCTTAAAGGGGTAGTGGTAGAGGACCAAGGGTGCTTCCCATCAGCAGCAACAGAAGAGAGAGGAGAGAATAGGGCAGGGAAAAGAGAGAACAAGGCAGAGGAAGCAGAGTTGGAAGATGGAAGAACGAGGTAAAGATGGGGGGGGGATATAAAATGGTGTAGAGAGAAGAGACAACGGAGTAAGTTACTGTAGTAAAGAAATGGAAGCAGCCCAATGCCGGCCAGGACCACTTCTCCATTCTAATCCGGTGCACGCGCACGCTAGCAGTAAATAGATACCTGGGAGTTAGTCAGCTGTCACAGGCTGCTTCCTGGGGTGTGTGTGTGTGTGTGGTGTGGAAAAAAAATATAGTTAGTAAATAGTTGATTGACAGTTGAGAGGCGGGCCGAAAGAGCAAAGCTCAACCCCCGCAAACACAACTCGGTGAATACACACACACACACACACACACATACACACACACACATACACACACACACACACACACACACACACACACACACACACACACACACACACACACACACACACACACACACACACACACACACACACACACACACACACACTCTCTCTCTCACACACTCACTCACTCACTCACTCACTCACTCACTCACTCACTCACTCACTCTCACACACTCACACTCACTCACTCACAATTAGGTAATTACACACATTTTGGTTCTCTACCCCAGTTAATGGAGGCTAATCCATAATTATCTGTTAAGTAATGCCAGCAAACACACTAAATAACAATAATACTGTATTCCTATATATTTATACAGTACAGGTATATATATATATATGTCGTACCTAATCTTTAGATGTTTAAATCTTTAAATCTAAAGTTTAAATCTAAATTTTAGATGTTTAAATCTTTAGATGTTTGAATCTACAAACATCTAAAGATTTAAAATGTAGAATATCGCAACATAAATACTCTGTAAGACATGGCCAATTGTCTAATGCTCTGTTTGTGCATTTGTCAGAAAAAGCTCACCAAATTGATTGGGAGAGTGCTTCTTCAATAACAAATTGTAAAAGCACCTATAACAGAAACATAATTGAATCTGCTTTGATACAGATCACCAAAGAAAGTAATTTGAATATTAGCAGTGGTCTATATAACTTAGATCCATTTCTAATAGATCAGCTAAAGGGCGATTTAAGTAGAATCATTGAAAAACATTTGTCTCACTAATTTATTGTATATATTTACTTCTTTATGTTATAATTACCTATATATTATGCTTGTATGTCTGCTGTATCAGATGGGCCATTGGGCTACATCGGATGTGCCAATTGGGTGCATCTGATGGGCCAATGGGCCGTCTGCGTTGTCCAAGTATTGTACCTCACCTTACTTCACCACTCCTTCCTGCCTATTTATACCCATCACTCGATCTGTAAAATGACCTTCTGAAGATGTATTTAATATACGAAAGTACTTAAGGAAATTTCCTGTTTCATTTTTCCTCCGTGGTCTGACATTGTCATATATATATATATATATATATATATATATATATATATATATATATATATATATATATATATATATATATATATATATATATATATATATATATATAATATGTCGTACCTAGTAGCCATAATGCACTTCTCGGCCTAATATGCATGGCCCGATTTGCCTAATAAGCCAAGTTTTCATGAATTAATTGTTTTTCGACTACCTAACCTACCTAACCTAACCTAACCTAACCTAACTTTTTAGGCTACCTAACCTAACTTAACCTGTAACGATAGGTTAGGTTAGGTTAGGTAGGGTTGGTTAGGTTCGGTCATATATCTACGTTAATTTTAACTCCAATAAAAAAATATTGACCTCATACATAACGAAATGGGTACCTTTGTCATTTCATAAGAAAAAAATTAGAGAAAATATATTAATTCAGGAAAACTTGGCTTATTAAGCAAATCGGGCCTTGTATAGTAGGCTGAGAAGTGCGTTCTGGCTATTAGGTACGACATATATATATATATATATATATATATATATATATATATATATATATATATATATATATATATATATATATATATATATATATATATATATATATATATATATATATATAATATAATATTCAAGCTTGTTCGCATTTCTGTTGCTCATGTGGCCCCACTAAAATGAAGTGATTTGATGAAATAGTTATGCACAAGATTACCATCAAAGTGCTGCCGGGGGTGGGGGGTCAAATAGCTTCGGCTATCGCCTCCTTATATGCGGTCACTGATGGTCGAGTGGATTAAGGCACCGTGACACCAGTTGCAATGTGCTCATGGAGGTCCGGGTTGGAGTCGCTTCTTGGGTGTAGGGTTTTCATTTATATAATATATATATATGTATATATATTGGTGTATACTGGCAGCAGGTTTTCTTTCAAACATGTTTCATTGAATATGACCGCATATTCTGTATTTATTATTTTCTGGTTTAGGGCTTCTATCCCTCTAACTATTTTCTTAGCATCAGGGCTTAATTGAAATAGGAGTTCTCCAAAACTCATTTTCGTACTTTTAAGGTGAAGAAAAGAAGTGATTTACTATAGAGTGTATTACACTTATTTGTATAATTTGCACGACGTTTCGAACCTCCATGGTTCATTCTCAAGTGAACATAGGGGCTGCAGAAGGCTTATTGGCCCATACGAGGCATCTCCTATCTAAACACAAAGATTAATCCAGTGTAATTGGCCTGTTATGTTGGACATTGTCTTCTGTGTTGGCATCGATATGTTCTTGTCTTGTCCTTACTCTCATGGTGGGTAGAGTAAATAGTTCCGTGATTTGGGTGTTCATGGTAGGTCGCTCTATTCTTATGTGAATTGCCTCAAGAATTTGTAATCTTCTTGAATCTTGGGTTTTGTCTATTATGCAAGTATTCTTGTTCAACATTTCTCTTGTTAGAGTATACTCTAACATGTTAGATGTTAAATGTCTCTAAAATGTTAGAGTATACTCTAACAAGAGAAATGTTGAACAAGAATACTTGCATAATAGACAAAACCCAAGATTCAAGAAGATTACAAATTCTTGAGGCAATTCACATAAGAATAGAGCGACCTACCATGAACACCCAAATCACGGAACTATTTACTCTACCCACCATGAGAGTAAGGACAAGACAAGAACATATCGATGCCAACACAGAAGACAATGTCCAACATAACAGGCCAATTACACTGGATTAATCTTTGTGTTTAGATAGGAGATGCCTCGTATGGGCCAATAAGCCTTCTGCAGCCCCTATGTTTATCCCTTATGTATCCCCCCATGTTTTCACCTTCATTGTATTATCACCTGACCTAATGCGGGTATAAAATCAACTAGTATTGTAAGATCTGTTCACTTGAGAATGAACCATGGAGGTTCGAAACGTCGTGCAAATTATACAAATAAGTGTAATACACTCTATAGTAAATCACTTCTTTTCTTCACCTTAAAAGTACGAAAATGAGTTTTGGAGAACTCCTATTTCAATTAAGCCCTGATGCTAAGAAAATAGTTAGAGGGATAGAAGCCCTAAACCAGAAAATAATAAATACAGAATATGCGGTCATATTCAATGAAACATATATATATATATATAATGGTGTATTCTTATTAATACACCATTACATGCATTTTTAACAACTGTACCCGTTAAAATAAATGCCAAAATAAATACAAATCCTGCAAAATCATTCTTCTTGATCTTGTACTCAATTATCCAATTTTTTAGTTACTTGGCCATCCAGAGATACCAATTAGTTTGAATAATTAAGGTCACACTACAGTACCTGTACTTATAATGTTACGGGGCCACACTAAGAGCAACTTTGTTTATATTTTTCATTTACAAGAAATCTTCTAATTTTGATTTTATCTTTTTAGTAAATAATACTGTACATAGTTATTTTACTAGCTCTAAAGATATACATATTTAAATTATATAACTAATTACTTATGCAATGTTGTAACTGGATATTAACTTTCCAGTTCGGACAGTGGACGCGACAACCCCTTCCGACCTGATGGTGACATCTCTCGTGAGGCTGACGAGATTGTACAGCTCATCAAATCCGGCCGGCCTCTTCAGGGACAACCAGGTCAACGGCCTGGTGACCTTACAGACTCCATAGATGGCATTCCATCATCTCCAACTGACAAGGATGCTGTTGCAGAGCCCCTTGTCTCCCAAAAAGATGCCTCCCCTCAGCAACAACAGCATTTGCCTCAGCAGCAACATCACCATCATGAGCAGCAGCAGCCAACACCAGTAGCAGTGCCATCAAAGCCAGTGACAGATACCACACCATCGTCTCCAGGAAAGGCAGGTGCTAATGGATCAGCAGCACCAGAGAACTCGACGCCAGGCACAGTTGAAGTTACACATGCCACAGTTACCCCCACAGACGCTGCCCATGTTGAACACGTTGTTATTAAGAAGAAAAGCAAGTGTAACTGCTGCGTGATCCAATAGTGGGTGTGGGCATGTTTACTTTGAGTCGGTGTGAATAGGGTGAGGGCATGAGGACTGATCACCCTAGCAGTAAGACTAAGACACGCAAGGAGTAATCCTGGGGCTAGAGGGGGTGCAAGTGCGATGTTGCTTGACTTAACATGTGCTTTGTCTTTTCTACTGTGTGCACAATCCACCATGACTCTTATTAAAGTGTTCCAAAGACTGAAGAAAATATATTTTATGTATCTTAATAATTTCATATATAGTTTTTTGCTAGGTGAACAAAATGGTTATTTCTCTGCTTAAATTACCTTCATTTGATCACTGAAACACACACTACATTACTAGTTGGCCAGATTATAATTTCTTTGCTCATGCGAGTGCCTACACAACCAGCTGGCATCAGAAACTCGTATGTTGCAGGGGGCTCTTCAGGTACTCATACTGAGCCAAGAGTCCCCAAAGTGTCTAGGGCCTCACCAGATACTCATTAAGTATCTAGAGAACGACTAGGCATTCACATGGGACATAGGGATAACCTGACAAGTAGTCAGTGAGGTCCATCAAGCACTCGTGTGGTGTAGTGCCTTGGCCTCTAGGCACTCATCCAGTGTCTTGGGCATGGCCGACATTTCTTTAGTGTTTAAAACTGACAGTACACCTACTCAAGTGCCTCAGTTTCAGAAGAGACTCGCACAGTGTGTGTAAGCTGTTAAACACTGAAGCATAGTCTTGGACTTGACAAGCACTTATTAAGTGTCTGGATGTAGTATGAAGTGTGGTGGAAGAGGCTTCTCTAGGGAGCAAATCCCTAGTTGAAGAAATAAACTCCTTCTATAGAAGGATTGTAACTCTTTTAATCTCTTCAAATAAACTGATCAAATTTTTGTGAATGTAAATATTCTTCATTGCCGAAGTGGATAATCTATAGTGTTAAAAATGTAGAAGACTGTATTGGGAAGGGTCATTCTGCTTGAGGTTGTAGAATTTTATAAATAATGTCTGGAGAGACTATAAGTTGGATGCCGTAGGTTCCTATATGATGATGAGGTATTATCCTCAATGTTGTAAGATTTTTATTAAAAGGTTGTACTACTTGAGTGTGCAAGATTATATCTGGAGCTATAAGGAGTGTGGTGTGGCTAAAGTGGTGGCAGTTGCGAGCAAGGTAGATAGGGATAACCATGGTGCTAGGGGCAGTGGGCTAGCCACATTCTCACAGCTGCTTCACCACTACCCATGTCACCCTTCAGCAGGAACAAGATGTGACCACGGGCCATTGTAATGACAGCTTTCTTGGATGAACGGTTAGGTAATCTTCACTCTATCAAATAAATTATCTAAATTATATTGTAAGGAGAAATTATCCATTACAACCACATGTAATCTTAGTGGTGGCATCTGATCAGAAAAATTTGAATGAATGCAAATTTCTTCCATAAAGTTTACACTGTAGCACTAAAGTTCAACCACTCTTATCTGAGTTTAATCCATTTTGGTAGAAACTTAAATTTTCTGGCGGTAATGACATAGGAGACTCAAATATCATAATTGGTTAGGATATGCAATGGAGAGACAGGTACCGTTCGTGATCAGGTTTAATATGCACATGTCAGGTGGTGGTAAGCATTGCGTTCCAGATAAAGTGTGTACAACCCCCAGAATCTGTACACAGTTTGAATTGTCTTTTGTGGTGCAAGAACCCATGGCCTGTATGATGAATGAGAGTTATTTCATGCTTGTGATATGGTTACCTTATATTTTTTGTTTGGATTTCTTTAGATATGAAATTAGAAATGTCACACATTGATCTCCTTCATTAATATTTTTTAATTTTATCTGTACTTGCAAGTTATATATTTCAGTATGATACTGCATTATCATCATAACTACTGATACAATGTTTAAAGAATACCAGTATTTGGCAAGAAATATGTCTTTACCCCTAGTTAGTTTTGTTGAATTGTTTCAACCCATGTATATTTTATCCGTAAAAATTTAAACATTTTGCAACAATGGCTCGTTTATTCTTAATTTTGTTCTCAACAATAACTCAGTCTGGTTACAATAAAACTAATGTCCTCAAACACTAACATCATATACTGTTTCACTTTCTCAGACTAATATTTGTTATTAGTCCATATCTTTAATACAGTATATATTTGTGAGTTTGTAAAGTCAACAAGTCTAGAATGACGAGTGAATATAGATTGACACGTTAAGACAGTAATCTTGAGTCACTTGTGGTCTTTTAAAACGTTGAAATGTTCACACTGACAGGTGTTGTATAGCATTTTACAGCCCCCAAGGTACTTGCGTAGACAGTATTAGTAACTCTTAATACAGTATCTCTCCAGTACTACCAAGTGAACATCAAACCTAATGTATGCACTGACATTGCACTATTTAGAATTTTTTATTAGCTCAATATTTATGACATTCTGAATTTTTATCCATTTTATTGAATATTTAAAATTTTTAATATAAAACAAATATTACACAAATATTTTTGTCATTAATACATTGTAGTGGCACTGTTTGAAGATAGGTTGTTATATATTATTTTATTTATTTCTATTTTTAGCAGGATAATTACATTGATGTTCCTGACATTAATTACAGGCTAAGAAAGAAAGAGAATGATGTGTACATAGTTTACTGATAGAGGTTCATATGTAAATTTTACATAAATTCATCATTGTAAAAAGCATATAGGAGTAAAGTGCTTAGTTTCCTTTTTAGATTCATTTATTATAATGTAATTGGATGATTTTTCTCAGAGGTAAGATACTGAGAAACTTATGGAAGAACATCTTCATCAGCTAACAAATTGTTAAAAGATAATGAATGATAACTAGCTGCCTTCAAAAGGGACTCAAGCTGCATGGTGAATTTCTATGAAGATTATATCTAATATGATTACAATGTAGAACTATGTTTCAACACTCCTGTCTTACTGTGAGAACTTATCTTGTGATGCCGATAAATCTCTCCTCCAAAGACACAGGTGTTACTTGTAGGGTTATTTAGACATCTTCAGAATGATCACTTGAAGAAATTATTTAGAAATGCTAACAATAATATACACTATAAATACCAAATGAGCTGTGAATATATTAAAACTACTGATTGACTGGCACACAAACTCTTCATTGTGTTTTTATTAATGAAATCTGTCAAATGCACATTAGAAATATGGTACGTTTTATTTTTTTCGTCATTTCATGGTTCGTGTGCAAGAAGTGCATCAACATATTGTATGTTACTGTTATGCAGAAATAATAACTGCCAATATATCAAAACATCTCCTACTACTGAAGGAGGTTATGTAAAATGTAATCTACATAAAAATATCTCTTTATCACATATGATTACAGATAGGAATGAGTCTGCACACCTTATACTTGTGGCTTCATTGTATATTGCCAAAAAAAATCTAGATATCAAACAACCAAGTACATATGGACGTTCCAGTCAAGCTATGTGTTCTCAATCTCAGCCCTATAACTTTGAAGGTGCCCAAGGTATAGCACTTTATGATCTGCTACACCTGGAACATCCTTATGCACGGTGATACATCCTGTTAGAAGCTTCTCCATAGTAATCTACTGAATTTTCTCTGGCCTGTCTGCTTGTGAGTCGCAGGTGGAGGAAAATAAAAACATTGATCTTAATGGGGGCAATGGAGGTATCTCTCCATTTCATTGTAAAACAAAACTATTATTGCTTAGGGGGGTGTGCATGAAATAATGAAACCATATGGTAATGCTTTTGTCATCACTTAAGACTGTCAGGGGACTAATGCTTAGAAGTGTATGATACTAAACAGGGAATTAACACTGTGGCATGTGATGTTGGGGGGAGGAGGGCTACAAGTTGACAGGTCAAAATGAGTCATACCACCTGCATATGGCATTTTGTCGATCATTCATTAAGGTAGAGGTAATTACATGTATTTGTACCAAAATCATTGTGAAATATATAAATAATTGCATAAATAAAGTGTTTGTTTTCCAGAGCAAGTGTTTGTCTCTGCCCAATTTGGTAGATAGAACCTCAAAGAAAACAACAAAGCATTGCATATACAACATAGGGCTGAAGATACTTTTAATATACATAATGTTTTAATGAGCTACACCGTTGCTCGATATAATTTAAACAAAAAATAACTAAATGTGTGCCTGGTATTGTACAAAGCTTCAGATTGGAAGGATATATTTGGTCTTAAGATATAGTGTAATATTAATAGCCTTTACTATCCACAAAATCATTATAAACTACAGTATTTAACTTTATAAAGAAAATAAACTGTTCATTTAACATTCAAAATGCATTTGATAAACATTGTTTGCCCGTTATGTTTTTTCTAAACCAAATTGAGTGACAGAACTAGTCTTGTATTATGAGGATTCAGGCTGAAAGTGCTAAATGAAAGGTGCCGGGCATATTTGTAACATGTACACTAACATATGAAGTACAAAGTGCTCATTAAATAGTTGCAAATAATCTAGAAATATTACTGAACTACAAGCTTGGGAGATGATGGGGTTAGAATGTCGAGATTTTCAGGATTATTATTCATATTGCATTCCGAATGTTCTTCTAGGTCACTTCTACCTTGATAGAATCTGATACCTTTGATGCTACTTGCCTTGTGTTCCTATGTTCTCATATTGTCATCCTGAATGATATTCAGGACCTTTTGAATCTTAGGTGACATTGTGCTACATAAGTCTTCCCTGGTTGGTGTCTTCTTTTGATGATTAATTACTTACTTATTTACTTCTCATTCACTGGTGATTCTTTCAAAAACTAGGCAAGGGTATACAGAGATAAAGGTATACACAAAATAAAACATTCTGAGTATCTGCATTGGGTATTTATTTAGGATGGAAAACATGTGTTGGTGTGTCAGTGAAGCCAATGCTGATGTTTGTTGCTGAAGGTGGGAGTGACAGCCAGATACATGTACAATTTTTTTTTTTTTTTTTTTTTGCAGGGATATTCCTGCACAGGCCCTAAGCCTCTGGCTGGCCCACTAAGTGTTGCTTGTTTCTGCTTTACTTGGGCGGAGTATGAGTATTTATGACTTATATGGTCGCTTTGTACAGTAGTTGTAGAGTAGTTGGTAATTTTCTGATTTTTCTTACATATCATTCTTTCATAAATGTGAGATGGTATGGTATATTTACATAAGTCAATCTATACCTATTCTTTGCTACTTTGTCTATCTCAGAGAAATTCATCAGTGCTACATTATTTGATTTGATTTTGGACTTTTGTGAATCTATGAAATACCGTGTGGTGTAGCAATTAGTGATCTCAACCTACCTGTCTCATGCTTCTGGAGAGGCTCTTGAAGGCAAGCTCCCAGATGAAAACAAGATCAGCCAGGATCAGCCCAGCAGTGTAGACTAGGAAGACTCCCTGCAGGTGGTATAAGGTGAGGCTCAGATTTGCCCGTTCTTGCGTCGCTTCCATCTCTCCCCTCATCCCCGCAGCCTCCTGAAGGTGTAACAAGTAACTACTGAATACCTGTCTTATTGATGTCATTACTACACACCTGTTCCTATGAAGCATGTCACATTTGTCATGTTGTATTTCATGCTAATCCTGTGTATGAAATAAATACTTCATACAGCTCCCTTTGACACTGTCTCCTTCACACAGTTATCTTTAAATTTTACTCAGCTGTTATCTTAAAATTTTACTCAGCTCTATCTCTCATCTATTCATCTGCTTTAATATCCAACATAATTACTCACTGCAGCCCTCCTACGTGTGGTCAGTGTGTGTTGTTCAATAAGATTCGACATCCACTTGGCGACGAAGCCACCACCCAGCAGTCGCTTCAAAATTCCATCAAACACGCGCTGCCAAGGTTCACATTAAATTATTAAATGGGATAAGACAAGGTTAGTAATTAAATTAATATAACAAAATGATAAATATATAAATAAAAAATTTAGTATACTCCTTAATAATAGATATTTTCACCATGGCCACTACTCTCTCTCTAGTGACCCCGACAAGGGATAGGAAGCCAGTGGCTTGGCAAAAGTCCTCCCTATTATTCCTAAGTATTTTTGCCAACTAGATTTTGATTTGAAGTAATATCTTGGCATATTTGGCTTGAGCAGTTAGGCAGTTTGAAGAGTATATACGCCTTGGTTGGGTGAAAAAGAATTTCCAGTTTTCTGTTCTACACTGTGGCTTGTTGAACTTGAAGCTGTTGCACCTTGTATGCATTTCATTTGACCTAAAGAAGTGGTCTGGATTAATATCCTCCAACTTGTTATAAGGGTCTCAATGTGAACAGCCCTTTTATGTCTGAAGTGTTGTTAGTCCTGAGGCCCTCAACCATTCCTGGCATGAGAGTCAAGTTCTGGGATAATTTTTGTGCTTTGTGTTTATCTTTCTCCAAAGCAGACATGTACTTCTGAGGGTGATGTCTCCATGCTTGGATACAGTAGTCCAAATGGGGATCCACCAGAGACTTGTAAAGTTGAGTAATCACATTCCTTTCCTTGAAGGCAAAGGCTCATTTGACTATCCCTAGGGTTTTGTTGGCTCTTTTACTGCAGCTCCCACTTGTTGAGCAACTTTCAATAACTGGTGGATAGGACCTACCACGTCCTATTCTTCATCAATCTGCTGCATGGTAGTGTTGATTTGATCGTTGTGATATGCATTGTTATGCCCCACATGCAAGATTTTGTGTTTTCAGTATTAACAAGCTGGTCTTCTGACCATTTGTGGCATTCAGTTAGAGACCTTTGTATGGTTCAATTTTGTTTTCGTTTCCTACTTTACTATAGATCTTAGTGTCATCTGCAAATCTGACAATATGGTTGGTAATATTCTCAACAATGTTATTGATTTGTGACAAAAAGAGTTGGTCCAAGATGGACCTTGTGGTATCCCACTTACCCCATTTTTCCAGTCAAATTCATTTCCATTTAGCCCTTTGCTTTCTTTGTTTCAACCATTGCTTTATTGTTGAAAACAAGCTTTTATGGCTTTTTTAGTATTCTACCATTCATTGCATGTGCTTGTGATTTCCTTGCCAGTCACTCTCTAAAGCCCTTATCAAGAGCTTTAGAGAAGTCCATGCCTACATCTACTGGAAGTCCTTTGTGTGAATACCTCATTACCGTTTCCAAAAATGTGAGTAGGATAGTAAGGAAGGATTTATATTTAACAAAACTAAGTTGCATAGATTTTACAAGATTCACTAAGTCGGTGAATGATTTCCTCCCTTAGGATTCCCTCCATGAAGTGTGAAAGATAGATGAAATTGTTAATGTAACCATCACATCAAGGGCGCCTGACAGCTGGGTGGACAGCGCTTCGGATTCGTAGTCCTGAGGTTCCGGGTTTGATGCCCGGTGGAGGCGGAGACAAATGGGCAAAATGTTTTATTCACCCTGATGCCCCTGTTACCTAGCAGTAAATAGGTACCAAGGAATTAGACAGCTGATTACGGGTTATTCATGCCCGTGCCACCTCTTGGGTGGCTTCATCTTTATCATCAGAGAGCTGCTATGGGCTGCTTCCCTGAGGGTGTGCAACAAAAAGGAGGCCTGGTCGAGAACCAGGCCACAGGGACGCTAAGCCCTGAAATCATCTCAAGATAAGAAGATTCAAGAAGATCACCGTTCAGGTCTGATAAAGAACTTTTGTGCCCTCTGTAATCCTTTTTGTGCTACTGCTCACAGGATGAGTATGGGGTGCACAATAAACTAGCCACCTCTGGCAGTAGCAATCAATCAAAAGCTTGCAGATACATGAGGTTAGAGTGATTGGTCGGTAGTCTAATGAGCCCTTTCTGCCTTTTTTAAAAATGGGGTGACATTTGCATGTTTAAATCTAACTATAAGATATGGATGAGTATAGCAACGTAAACGTTGCTATACTGTACCTATCCACATCTTTTACATTTTGTATATTTCTGAGTATCTGTCTTCTGTGAACAAGATTTGCTATCAATTATGCGTACCAAATTTGCCTCAGGCTTACCTAACCTCCCTACCTGAGAACCTGATCGTTCTCTTTGCCTGTCAGCTGTTCCATCATTTCTTCAATGTTTTTCTGATTAGTATTACTGTGCCTTCTATTTTCACAAAGTTTCTTATAATGAGGTTATTTTTTAATTCTTTCTCATCAAAGCTTCTGAATCTCTCTCAATAGCTTCAAAATCCTTTTACTCAACTCTGCCTGCATTCCCAGCTTTATTCCTTATTGCTGGATTACCTCCTTGTTTACCACAGGCATCATGACTATTAAAAATCTATAAACTGTTTCACCAGTTCCTTCTGACCTTCTTGTAATCTTTTTATTTTGTCGTAAAATTTTTCCTCTTTATACTCTTACATTTTCCCACTCTATTCTCAATGGCAGTGTTAGGTTCATTTACTTGATCATTGCCTTGGGCATTGCAGGTAATGCAGTGAAAATTAAAAAGGCTTTTACTTTTGGTTTACTCATTGTTATAAGCATTGACTAATATGTGAGATTTGACATTTGCTGTGGTATATATTATAATTATTGGTGATTAAGAATTATGAGTTAAAAATCTGTAAATTCTAGTAATCTCTTACTTCATACAAAACTTATTATTATTATAACCATACTCTCCACATGCTTTGCCAACCAGACCATGGATGCTCTCAAAAAGGAAATAGACTTTCAGAGGTACCCAACAGAGATTTTAACCTCCGAAATCCTTCCTTACTGGGGGGAGCCCCTTCGGCTCCCCAGAGCTATCCAGGCTAATATGCTAATATCAGACTTTGGCATCAGTCATGTGTATGGAGTTATGTGGGCCTACCAGGGACCACGAGCCAGAACCTGGCCCCTTTCAGAGAGGCATGGGGAGCAATGGCCTATAGAAACCTCTGTGTGGTTGGAAGCATTCTATGTCTGCCATCGACTGGGTCAGGCACCCAGAAAGGTAAGCGTCCCAAAACAAACCCCTATTCTGGTGAAAGTTGCTACAAAAAGCTGAACAAGTGGATAGAACTCCCCCCAAAAAAAACGAGCCAACAAACATGACGTCACACGTCGCCGCGCTGCTGTCGGTGCAGCTCCCTCCTCCCCGGGAGGGGGAAGGGAGAGCCCCAGACCCCCGTGCCGGCCATCCACCCTCCAGTTCTAAGGCCGATGCTGTGGTCGTCGTGGCCCATCTGTGTTTTTTAGGTGTTCAGGTGTTGGCCTATCTTGACGACTGACTGGTTCGGGCTCCCAGCCAGTCCTCATGTCTGCTAGCCAGGGATTTGGTTTTTTCCCAGCTCGCCGGGTTCAGGTTCTTGGTGAACTGGAGGAAGTCCCATCTGGTTCCTTCCCAGGTTTGGACCTGGCTTGGTCTTGTGTGGGACTCTCGGACCGCTTCCTTGTCTCTTCCTCCGGAGTCTTTCCTACAGCTGCAGTCCCGCATGTACCTGTTTCTGGAGGGCTCCCGGGTCACCTGGCGGTTGCTCGAGGGTCTGTACGGGAGGCTGAACTTTGCAATGATGGTCTACCCGTCAGGTCGGGTTTGGCTTCGTCGGCTGTTCCGGTTCCTTCGGGGATGTCCCTTCCGCCTCTCTCGCGATCACTGAGTTCGGGCCCCCGGGGACCTTGCGTCGGCTGTTGCGTTGCCGGCTTCCTCTTCAGGTTTTTCGGGATTCAGTGCCTTGGCGCCTGCCTGAGCCCTCGCTCGATGTGTTCACGGACGCGTCGTCTCTTGGCTAGGGCTTTGTGACTAGTGCTCAGCAGGCCGGCCAGAGACAGTGGGGTCTGTCCTTCCGTCAGGCCCACAGCATGGTGCGGGAGTTCGCAGCAGTGTGGTTTGCTCTAAGGAGGGTTCGGGTCGCCCGCGGATCAACGATCCGGCTCCATTCAGATTGCTCCCCGGTGGTTCATTGCCTGAACCAAGGGGGTTCGATGCGGTCCTTGGCTCTTTGGCGCTGGTCGCTTCAGGTGACTCGTCTGCTGAGTTCTTGGGGTTTGGCTCTCCTGGCTGTTCACGTGCGGGGAGTGTCCAGCGTCTTGGCAGATGGCATGTCTCGTTTCGTTCCCCTGTCCACTGAATGTACGGTCGATGCCGACTCCTGTTGGCTTTGCCAGATGTTCGGGCCACCTAAGGTGGACCTCTTCGCGTCAGTGTGGTCGTGTCGCCTTCCTCTTTATGTCGCGCTCTTCCCCGACTGCGAGGCCGTCGGGGTCGATGCCTTTCGGCAGGACTGGTCGAGGTGGGGGTTCCTGTACCTCTTTCCCCTGGTTCAGCTATTGCTCCAGGTCCTGACTTGCTTGGAGACTTACCAGGAGAGAGTAGTCCTCTTGGTCCTATGGGGCCGGCCCAGCCGTGGTTTCAGGCGCTGCTTGCTCGCTGTCCAAACCCGGAGGTTTTCCCGCGGCTCCGCCTCTTCCAGCAGATCGGACCGGTGCTTCACATGGCTGGTTCGATCTTCTTCTCGAGTCTTCGCATATGGTATTTTTGACTCGAGTTTATCATCAGGTGGCTTCCTTGTTAGTGTCCCACCTGCGGGCTTTGTCTCGGCGGCAGTCTGAAGTTTCCTGGCGGTCTTTCTGGTTCTTTTTGACTCTGTCGCTGTGCTTCGCTTTCTGTTCAGGTGGTGTTGTCATTTCTCTCTTGGTTGTTCCAGGACCATCATCTTATGCCAAATACTGTTGCCTCGTATCGTACGGCGCTGGCAGAGCTGCTTCAGCTTGCTTTCGGTATTGATGTTACTTCTGCGCTGTTTCGCAAGCTGTCTCGTGTGTTGTTTCACCTTCGGCCTGCTCATGCGCCACCTGAGCTGTTCTGGTCATTGGACAGAGTGCTCTCTTTTCTGTCTTCTCATGGAGAGAATCCTAAAGGAAGGAATCATACAACATCTTATAACAATCTTGTAAAAATCAATGCAACATGGGTTTGTTAAAAATAGATCCTGACTTACTAACCTGCACATTTCTGGAGACGGTAACTAGCTATTCAGACAAAGGACTTCCGGTAGATGTAGCTTTCATGGACTTTGCTAAAGCTTTGACAAGGTATCACATGAGAGACTGGCAAGGAAATTACAGGCACATGGAATAAATGGGAGAATACTGGAATGGTTGAAACATAGAAAACGAAGGGTTGTGCTAAATGGGAATGAATCTGACTGGGGAAATGTGCTAAGTGGGGTGCCCCACAGGGATCCATTTTTGGGCCAACCCTTTTTGCCATATACATCAATGACATAGATGAGAATATTACAAATTCTCCATGCTTACTAAGATGACACTAAGATATATGGTTTAGTGGGAAATGAAGATGATATTGAGACCTTACAAAGAACTACATGAACTCCATAAATGGTCAGATGACTGGCAAATGCTGTTTAATATCAATAAATGCAAGACTTTGCATGTGGGGCACAACAATCCATGTCACAATTACCAAATTGGCAGCACTGCCTTACAACAGATAGATGAAGAAAAAGACCTTGGAGTCAGAATCTATCATTCACTAAAATTTGCACAAGAAGTGGGAGCGGCAGTAAAAAAAGCGAACCAATCCCTGGGAATAATCAAGCATACCTTTACCTTCAAGGAAAAGAAAATAGTCATTCAATTGTATATCTGGTGCCAAATCTGGTGCGCCTCCATCTGGATTATTGCATCCAGGCATGGAGACCTCATCTTCGGCAAGACATAGCTGCTCTGGAGAAGGTGCAACACTGGGCAACAAAAATCATACCAGAACTTAGTCATCTCACCTATCAGGAATGGTTGAGGGGCCACTGGGCTAACAACACTGCAAACCAGGCATGACAGGGCGGATTTCATTGAAACCTTTAAAATACTGAACAATTTGGAGGATATCAATGTGGACAATTTCTTCCAAAGGTCAGATGTAACACGAACGAGGAGCAACGGGTTCAAGCTCAACAAACCACAATGTAAGACAGAAAACAGGAAATGCTTTTTCACCCATAGGGTTGTAAACCCGTGAAACCGCCTACCCGCCGAAGTCATAACCGCCTAAACTCTGCTGGGTTTTAAAATGCAGTTGGAAAAGATCATCAGGGCAAATGGGGGGACCTTTGACAAGCCAGCTTTCTGTCCTCATCAAGGCCCCCTAGTACTGGTTGCCCTTAGGTAAAATATATATACATTTTACTCATCTCCTGAGGGGCGCCTAACAGCTGAGTGGACAGCGCTTCGGATTCATAGTCCTGAGGTTCCAAGTTCGATTCCCTGGTGGAGATGGAGGCAAATGGGGCAAAAAGTGTCTTTCATCCTGATGCCCCTGTTAACTAGCAGTAAACAGGTACCTGGGAGTTAGACAGCTGCTACGGGTTGCTTCCTGGGGGGTTAGTAACAAAAAGAAGGCCTGGTCGAGGACCGGGCCGCGGGGACACTAAGACCCGAAATCATCTCAAGATAACCTCAAAATAACTTCTTCCCCTCTCTGGTCTTATGACGGTTTCCTTTCAACTTATTATTGTTTCTGCTTGATTAAGTTTCAAGATGGATCAAAATGTGCTTGTGTGTATGAGTGCTGTGCGTGTGTTGGGGGGAGGGAGGGAGGTTATGTTGTTGTTTTAGATTCAGTTACTCAAAACAAAAGTTCCAAGTAGCATGGACTATGGTGAGCCCGTACTGGACTTACCTGGCACAGGAGCGGGGCTGTGGAGGGAGGTTAAACCAATGGTTCCTTACTTGCGTTTACCTGGTAAACTCAAGTAATTATGGTTCAAGCACGAAAGGAATTAGTACTACACAGTCTTCTTCAAACATGAAACTCACTTTCATGGGTGACCCTTTCTGCACAGCGTAGCCTGTGTCTGCAGGGAAGAAGCTGTCTTTAGCCAGATACACCCGGGTGTCCCCGTTCTTGTCGACGAAATGCATGGCAATGGCATCCCTTAGGTATGTCTTAAAGGAGATGAAAGCAAATCGTTCTTTCAGGGCCCGCTGGACACACTCCACCAGCGATGGACAGAACGTCAGCCCTCGAAAGATCTCCTGGTAGAGGGGCACCTGTAGGGAAATTAAGGGTAGATGGAGAACATTGGGGGATGCATTCTGAATAATGTACACCACATATGTAGGGCCAATCCTAGAGTATGCAGCCCCTGTTGTGGAGTCAACCACCTCAAAAATCACATATGTATACTTAAAAATGTACTGAATTGCTGGCCATAACGATGCTAAAAAAAAAAAAAGAATGGATATGGTAGACATATAAAAATACTTAAGGAAATTGACACAGTGGAAAAAGAAAATGGGATAATCACTTAACAGCATAACCATAAAAGTAGCAGGATAATGGAAAACTAAATAAGAAAGTAAAGTCGGAAATTATTGCATTAGACAATTGGTGGTAAGAAAGACAAAGTCCAAGATCTGAAAGTTGATCCAACAAATACAGATACCTGTACCTTGCTCGTCTTGAACAGCTGGTAGTCAGCAGCGCCAAAGCTGTTAATACCCCACACGAAGTTTGAGTCAAGGAGGTCCTCGAGTCTGTCGATGGTTGGGGAGAGTGCTGGCACTGTGAGGAAGGCTGTCAGGTTCCCCACATAGCACACGGTCGCCACCAGACAGAAAAGCAGCCAGAACACTGAAAACACCCGCACCATCGAGCTAGATGGCCATCTTTGTCCCTGCAACACATTACTGCATTAATCCAACGTAATTATAGATCTACCGAACATAGGGTTTGGGACTTGTACTTGTAGACTCAAAAAAACATACACACTTATCCACACTACTATGTCACAGGTGGAGTACCACAGGGTTCAGTTCTTGCACCAGTAATGTTCATTGTCTACATAAATGATCTACCAGATGGAATACAGAATTATATGAACATGTTTGCTAATGATGCTAAGATAATAGTGAAGATAAGAAACTTAGATGATTGCCATGCCCTTCAAGAAGACCTGGACAAAATAAGTGTAATGAGCACCACTTGGCAAATGGAATTTAATGTGAATAAATGCCATGTTATGGAATGTGGAATTGGAGAACATAGACCCCCACACAACCTATAAATTATGTGAGAAATCTTTAAAGAATTTGGATAAAGAAAGAGATATAAGGGTGGTTCTAGATAGAAAACTATCCACATAAAGAACATTGTACGAGGAGCCTATGCTACACTTGATAATTTCAGTGGTACCTCGGCTTACGAATTTAATCCGTTCCTATAGACGGTTCATAAACCGAAGTGAATTTTCCCATAAGAAATAATGTAAATTGAATTAATCCATTCCACACTCCCCAAAAAATTAACTTCAAAGTAAATTTTATACTTAATTCACCCAATTCTTCAGTACTAAAGTACTATGTACAAGTTATTGTTTACCTTTATTGATGACTCTTGTTGGCGTATGGAAAATGGTGAGGAAGGGAGGAGGAGAAGTGGTGTTAGTGTTTGGAAGAGGAGTCCCCTTCCATTATAACATCAGGCAGTGATGACTTCTCTGGGGGTACACTCTCTGGCACGTTTTGCCTGCATACCACTAGAACCTGCTTGTGGCTCACTGCTTGATTTTCTCACTAAAAATCTATCCATAGAGGATTGTTTTCCCTTCGTTGTAACACTTCTCTGTAGTGAGGCATCACATTGTTATTAAAAAGGTTAATGCAATGGCCTACTACAGCTTGCTCTGGGCGAGTCATTTCAACAAAAGTTTGCATTTCTTCCCACAGTCTACACCACTTCTTAATTGTTGAGGAAGGGACAATCTGTACTGTCTCCTCTTCCCTGAAGACATTTCCTCAGCTGCCTCTTGTTGCTGCTCATTGTGAAGGGCTAGGAGTGTTTCGGTGGTCAGTTCTTCGCTGTGTTCCTCCACCAACTCCTCCACATCAGCACCATCCAACTCCAAGCCCAATTTCCAGCCCAGAGTAACAATTTCCTCAACAATTGGCACTTCAGGTCCAGACTCAAACCCCTTAAAGTCTAGTTCTGAAACACATTCAGGCCACAATTTTCTCCAGCCAGAGATCAGGGTTCTTTGAGTCACTTCTTGCCAGGCTTTGTCAATGAGTTTTAAAGCACTATAAATGTTAAAATGGTTTTTCCAGAACTTTGAGAGTGAGGTTTGTAGAATCAGTCACTTCGAAACATTTCCGGAAAAGTACCCTTTCATTAAGTATCTTAAAATTAAATATGATTTTCTGGTCCATAGGCTGAATTAGAGGAGTGGTGTTAGGAGGAAGAAACTTTATTGTAACAAAATTAAATTTGTCCAACAATGCATCTTCCAAGCCTGGAGGAGAGGCAGGAGCATTGTCAAGGTCTTGAGTGGCAAACTTTTCTCCTGCAGATATTTGTTTATGTAAAGGGCAAACCACCTCATTCACCCACTCCATAAAAAATTGCCTTGTCACCAATGCCTTACTATTAGCCCTCCACATCACACACATTTGGGTTTTCTGCACATTGTATTTTTTTTTAAATCCTTGGATTTTCAGAATGATACACAAGCAAGGGTTTAATTTTCAAATCGCCACTCACATTACCACACAATACAAGAGTTAGCCTATCTTTCATAGGCTTGTGTCTGGGCAATGACTTCTCCTCCTGGGTAATATATGTCCTCTTAGGCAATCTTTTCCAGAATAGTCCTGCCTTGTCATAATTAAACACTTGTTGTGGTAGGTATCCCTCACTCTAAAAAATCTTTAAATTTGTCAACAACTCATTCAGCCGCTGGTTTGTCTGAGCTGGCAGCCTCCTCATGCCTCACAACACTGAATGCCACATCTTTTTCTAAATTTCTCAAACCATCCCTTGCTTGCCTTAAACTCTCTTGTATTTACATCACTCTTTCCAGGGGTTTTCTTTAAAAGGTCTTCATGCAATTGCCTTGCTTTCTCACAAATGATGGCCTCTGAAATGCTATCCTGCTAACATCTTCTTGTGTATCCATATTAATAACAACTTTTCGACATCCTCAAGTGTTTATGTTCTTTGTTTCTTGATGGTTGATACATCTTTTGCCACTTTAGCACTCATAATGTCCTTATTCTTAGCAATTATAGTGCATTGCATTGACATAGATTTGTTGTACTGCCTTGCTAGTTCTACAACCCGTGTACCATTTTCATGTTTACGAATGATCTCTTGTTTTTTCTCTATGGTCATTCTCACATGTATTTTCTTGGCTTGAACCTTACCACTGGCTTTCTTGGGACCCATGGCGAGATATATAATAATAACTTATGTTCAAATACCCAAAAATCTTAAAAAAAAAAAAATTCTTTACAAAGAATTCAGGCACAATTGTCACTAGGCGGGAGGCACCGGTAAATTGAGGTGCAGTCGCCGTGCCACCACACACTAGGTCAGCCATACGCATATCAACAAACTATGTTTCCCGAGGCAAAGTTTGTAACCCATTTCGGATTTTACGAAGAAAGTGGGCTCGTAACCCGAAAACTTCATAAAGAAGGGCATTCGTAAACAAGGTGTCACATTAGAAGAAAAAAAGAACTACACTTAGGTAATTACACACACACATCCAAGAGTCAATGCTCAGTCCTGCAGGCACAAATAGGTGAGTACACACACATTCATCTACAGACCAGTATCACTGACAAGCATGCCCTGTAAAGTACTGTACTGTTCTTGCATCATCAGGTTGAGACTAGTTACACACTGAGAGAGAATTAGGTATGTAAACAAATACCAACATGGCTTTGGGGAAGGAAAATAATGCCTAAAAAACTTAATGGAGTTATATGATAAAGTAATAAGAATACGGCAGGACAGAGAAGTATGTGCAGATTGCATATTTCTGGACTGCCAAAAAGTCTCTGTCAGAAAGCTTTGATACAGTACCCCAATAAGAAATGGTTGGAGAAACTGGCTGGAGTAATAGGTAAGGTGCTCCCAGTGGATTAGGGAGTACCTAAGCAACAAGAAGTATTGAGTTACCGTGAGAGCCGAGACCTCAGAATGGCATGAAGTCACCAGCGGAGTCCCACAGGGATCTGTACTCGGATCTATCTTGCTTCTGATATACTGTATATGAATGGTCTTCCAGAGGATATAGACTCATTGCTCTCAATGTTAACTGATGATGCTAAAATTATGAGAAGGACTAAGGCAGAGGAGGATAGCAAGAGACTACAAGAAGACCTAGACAGGCTGAAGGAATGGTCCACCAAATGGCTACTATAACTTACCAGCTGGGAGATGAAATCCTTCAAGAATCAGGAGAGAAAGATCTGGGGGTTGGTACTATGCCAGACCTGCCCCCCGAAGCCCACATCAAAATTAAATCATCAGTGATGTATGTGAGGCTGGCAAAAATAAGAACTGCTTTCAGAAACTTGTGTAAGGAATCATTCAGAACCTTATATACCTTATATGTAGGACCAATACTGAGGTATGCAGCTCCAGCATGAAGTCCATATCTAGTTAAACACAAAACGAAGTTAGAAAAGGTTAATAGGTATGCACCAGGCTAGTTTACAAGCTGAGAGGTAAAGACTATGGGGAAAGCCTACTGGAATTAAACTTCATAACACTAGAAGATTGAAGTGTTAGCACAGACATAATTATCAAAAAAAAAAAATTCTCAGATGAACTGACAGGTTAGAGAGACAAGCTATTTAGCATGGATGGTTTGTGTAGCACCCTTGTTCGAGTGCCACTCGAACAAGTTGGAAACTTAGTACCCAAATGAACCACAGCAACATTAGAAAGAATTTGTTCAGTGTGAGAGTAGTTAACAAATGGAATGCATTACGAAGCAATGTGCAGCTGGCAGACAAACAAGAACCTTTCACACTAGAGTTGCTATACCGATGATGATACTTTTCAAGAAGCTAGTGCTCTCTAGAGTGGAATACTGCTGCACAGTGACAGCCCCTTTCAAAGCTGGAGAAATTGCTGACCTGGCGAGCGTGCAGAGATCTTTTACTGCTAGAATCCACTCAATAAAACATCTAAACTATTGGGGCCGACTAAAGAGCCCAAATCTGTATTCTCTTGAGCGCAGGTGGGAGAGATACATAATAATTTACACATGGAAAATAGTAGAGGGGCTGGTCCCAAACCTGCACACAGAAATAACAGCACATGAGACCAGAAGGCATGGCAGGATGTGCAGAATACCCCCGTTGAAGAGCAGAGGTGCAACAGGTACTTTGAGAGAGAACTCTATCAACATCAGAGGCCCGAGACTGTTCAACATGCTTCCGCTACACATTAGGGGCACAACTGGCCGACCCCTCACAGTGTTCAAGAGAGAACTTGACAAACACCTCCAAAGGATACCTGATCAACCAGGCTGTGACTCATATGTCAGGCTGCGAGCAGCCACGTCCAACAGCCTGGTTGACCAGTCCAGCAACCAGGAGGCCTGGTTGACAACCGGGCAGCGGGGTCACTAAGCCTCGGAATCATCAAGGTAACCTCAAAGTAAGGACTTATACTCAGGAGGCAGAGGCAGACTCCATACAGTTTCAAATGTAGTTATGATAGAGCCCAATATAAGAATGCAGTCCCCCGTTGATCTGTGGAATTACCCAAAGCCTCCTGACATTACACAAGTAATGAAGAAATATGGTATATTTACTAACTACAATGTTGGTGCAGAATGCAGAACATGAAAAAACCTGTGTATACTCTGAAATAACCTCATTT